ATGAAATTGTAGAAATTATTATTTTATGTGTCGACACACTCACATTTCAAATCGACACATTCACTCACGTTTTAAAGCTTGTAGCTTCTGACTTGTTCAGGTCGACACGTACATGCTTTTCATAACGTATGTATCGATAAATACGAATTTGAGGTCGACACATACAATTTGTTTTTTCCAAATGTCAAACTTCTTTTTAATTTCAAATTTTCCCTCCTTACCCTAGATGTTAAAAACTATAAATACTTATTCATGCATCATTTCTAACTTGATGATACCATATAATTAGCCTACTTTTTATCTTCATCTTCAACCTTCCAATCTATGCATACACACCAACATTACATTGTGATGATGTTCTGTCGGGGTGCCATCTAGACGAAGAATTGAAGATTTCTATTTTGTTTGGGTTGAGTTCTTGTAGGGGTCTCCATCCGGAAAAACCATCAGGTTTTTTCTCTAACATCATTTGTTGAATTGGGGTTTTTTGTTCAAGATCGTACGAGAAGGAATCGTCCATGTGAAAAATCCCTTGGAGTGTTTTAAATCTTTTCAAGGAACCTTAGCGTGGTTGAAATATTTTTAAGGAAGTAGCAAGAATTGGAAGATAAAATCGGTGATCTTCTGTTGATAGTTTGCAATCAGATTTAATCGAGTGAAAAATCCCTTAGAGTGTTTGAAATCTTTACAAGGAACCTCAGGGTGTTTGAAATCCTTTTAAGGAAGTAGCTTAAGCGGTGAATAAGTTGCATCTTTCGGTTGATTTAATCTTGCTTAAGATCAAAGGTTAGAAGAAGAAGCATCAACACCAAATTGGAGAATTTTGTATTGTTGTTTCTAACTCTTCCATTGTATTAAACATTTTGCATATAAAAATTATCCTAGTTCCATTGGAATTGGGCGTAGACGTACCCACACGCAAGGACGACAGTGGAGAACTGTGTAGACAAATTACTTGTGTGTTTTTACTTTTCCACTTTTACTTGTTTTTAATTTCATCAATCTTTTTATCAAATAGCATTGTTATAGTAGTTGAATTGTAAGAACTTTTCTCTCAAAATATGTTTTTGAAATAGGTGTGGATATAGATTATAGTCAATTTTGATTATAAGTGGTTTTGTATATCAACACTACTCAAAGAGAAATTCTAAAAATTCACTTGCACGCCAAGTGTTTGATAAAACGATCAAGTTAGTTCTTTGATTATTTAGCCTTGGAAATAGCACTGCAAAGTGATTGTTTTCAAACAATAAATAAGTGGATTGTTTATTTGAGTTTGTATTAATCAATTACTAAATTTTATCTCATAGGTTTATCTTTCATGATTTGTATATATGAGTTTCCAATAAGTTGTTTTTTAGACGACTTATCCAGTTAATTGCTTCTGCATCAAAAAGTTTTAAAAACAAATTAAATCATATATTTGTGTCTAGATATATTTTTTGCGCCACTATTCACCCCACCTCTAGATACGTTTCGTTCTCTAACATATTTCTTATTGACGTCATTAGTACTCTCAAAATCTTCTGGAAGAGTTCTCGTGCATTTGAGGACAGAGTTACCATCTTTAAGAAAAAAAATTCTTCATTAATAATGAAGACATATTCCTTAAGCTTATTGTTTTCAGAAGATATGGATTCATGGGACTTTTTACGTTCCTTGTATTCAATCTTTAGTAACTCATGTATTTCCAAAATTTCAAGTAAAGAAGAATTTAATTCAGAATGAGTAAGGTTAGAAAACACCTCTTCTGTGTCTGAATCAGAGTCTGCTTCATCTTCTAGAGGGATCTTCGCATCAGAAGTTCTAACACGACCCATCAACACCACATTATGTATGTTCTTCTTCTAAGTCATCTTCTTACTCTTGAGAGGTTTCTTCTTGGGCTTGTCCTTCTGAAGTTTAGGACAATCTTACATGTAGTGGTCTGGCTCATTGTACTCATAACAAGAGACTTCTTTGCCACTAGACTTCCTTTGACTAGAAGTAGACTCAAATAAACCACCAGTCTTTCTAGTACTTCTGAACTTGTTGCATGTATTTCTCTTCCAGAAATGGTTAACCCTTATGGACCGCAATGACAACTCATCAAAATCTTCATCAGAATATTCTTCTGAATCATCAATGTCTTCAACTTAAAGAGCTTTGAACTTCTCAGATCTTTTGACAGATTTGAGTGCAACAGATTTGCCTCTCTTCTGAGGTTCATCCTGTTCTAGTTCAATCTTGTGACTTCTTAAAGAACTCACCAGTTCTTCTAGAGAAATGTTGTTTAGATCCTTTGTAAGCTTGAGTGCAGTTACCATAGGCCTCCATTTGGATGGAAAGCTTCTGCTAATCTTCTTCACGTGATCTAACATTGAATATCCTTTATTTAGAACTCTCTGTTCTACAACTAAGGTTTGAAACCTTGAGAACATAGTCTCAACTGTTTCATCATCCTCCATCTTGAAGGCTTCATACTTCTAAAACAAAGTCAGATCCTTGGTCTCTTTAACTTGATCATTTCCTTCATGAGTTATTCAGAGAGAGTCAAATATAGACTTAGCTGAGTCTCTATTTTTGATCTTATCATACTTAGTATAATAAATATCATTCAACAAGATGGTTATTGCTTTATGATGATTATTATAATCCTTTTTCTGTTGATCAGTCATAGCTTTCCTTTCAAGCTTCTTTCCAGCAACATTTGTCGGAGGATCATAGCCATCAACTACCATATCCCAAAGATCAATGTCATGACCTAGAAAGAAACTTTCTAGTATGTCTTTCCAATATTTAAAGTTGTCAACATCAAAGATGGGAGGTTTAGCATTGTATTTATCTTTATCATTCGAAACTAGAGCAGGTGGTGTAGGATCAACCATAGTGTTTCTAAAACTCATTTGGGTCTTTATCTGACATGGTTAAGTGTTTGAGAATAATCAATACCAAAATCGGAGCTCTGATGCCAATTGAAGGTGCGATAAACACCATAAAGGTGAGTTTGAATTGGGTTGCACCAAATATAAACTTCTCATAACTCAAACACAGTAGCTAACAAGTGAATAAAAAAAATGAACACAATTATTTTTATCCTGGTTCACTGTTAACTAAGTTACTCCAGTCCACCCTACAAGGTGATTTTCCTTATCCATAAGGACTTAATCCACTATAATACACTGATTACAGAAAACCATAATAAGTCTAATCAACCATGTTGACAACCACAACAAGTCCGCTGATCCTTATTTCCATCCAATCCACAATGACAACAACCAGAGTCTTCTTGAAAATCCTGACTACACCTAGTCTCTCAAGGAACCTATCAAAAACCGTTGATTACAAAGATGTGTATACAAAGATGCTTATAACTAGCAGATAACACAATGTTTAACTATAACAACACAAAAGTGTTGATAGCAAGACATGAAAAAATATTCTTGCTAATTTACAAAACTATACAAAGAATATCTCAAAAGATTTGTGCAGCGTAGTTTTTTAGAACTAAAAGGCTTATTTCTAATTCATCCATGTCCTCCTTTTATAGCTAAAAAAGAGATCCATTAGAGGGTAGAATAGGAAACATAAAATCAGTTGTTTTGTCCTCAACTGTCAAGATGGTAATGGTATACAATATAGTACAAAAGGATCGTCCTTAAGCCACCCTAGCAGAGTAGTGATCACAATGTACTTTGTAATTTTATACTCACCATCTCACGTAAACTAGTCTTGATCTTTATCTTCTATTTCCTCAGAGGCGTTTGAGTATATGTTGATGAAGCATGTTGTAGAAGGATCAAAACTTGAATCTTCATAACCTAAGTCTTTGGAGTGTTCAGAACTTGTTCAGCAGAACCTTTGTCTTTAGAGTCTTCCGCAATTGGTCTTCAGAAGTAATATCTTTAGATCTTCAAACCTTGTTCAACAAAACCTTTTCTTTAGCATCTTCAGAACTTTGGACAACATAAGCATAGCTTTAGAAGGCCTCCAAATATTCCTTGCAAAGTCACTTTCATAAGCTCTTGTACTAACGTTCCTTAGAACCGTTGCATAAAAAGCATTCTCGAATCTTGACTTATCTTTGTAACACACCATAGGTATTCTTCCAGAGTGTTCAGTTCAGAATCTGATGACGTCACACGCCTTCTACAAGAGTCAGAACCTATTTCACAAAATCTACACACTAGACATAAACCAATAGTACACAATTGTTCTCTAAGATACCATGTAAAGTTATCATTAAAACTCAAGGCCAAATGCAGAACCAATCTTATTCTTACAAAAGGACCTTCTGTAATAGTGGTTATTTCATTTTGTCGATAATATGGACAAGTTGGAGATGTTTTACGACTTTGCAAGTGCTTAAGTTATTCAGGTTGTGGTTCTTTCTCCCGTAAGCATTACCTCTTCTTTGACCTCTGCTCTAATGTCAACTACTGAGAATTTGGCTTTTGTACCCGAAGTAGATCAACTTATGAATTCTACAGCCACTTTGATTGTGAGGAACACACCCCTATCTCCATTTTGATCAAAGAAAGCATGAGATGACGATCAACAATCCCCTCGGGATGAGGGTTATCCAAAACTAGATTGTGTTACTAGGGATGATGCTTCTGGGGAAATAACTCCCTTCTTGTAGATGTCAAACATCTTCTCTTTCCACCTTGATCGCACTCCTTAGGTGGATGCCACTACTATCTCGATGTCGGGTTTATCCTTAATTTAAAATCTATCTAAGGTAGAGATGATGGAACTTGTGTATGAGATCACCCATAGTATGCACTAGGTTGCTTCTCTATTTTCCATTATTTCTACTAGCAGGGGGCATCTTGGCTCCAAGAAATTCTACCAAGGAAAGGTACACATAGAAATGGAAATATGAGGCTATGGAATGAAGGTGATCTACTATCTATGAGGAGCTTGCTGGACTGCAAAAATCCATGACTCCCCTTTTACTTTGGTTGCTCGGGTAACTAGCCTAGAGGTTGTCTTCAAAGTGGCGGAGAAGTGGTATTAGGATGCCTTTGATGCTATTATGGAGAAGAATCGTCAAGCATAGGATGATCAGAAATATCTTCTTCAGGAGGATGAGACTCATGCCGAGACCTAGAAAGCTCTTAAAGATGAGGTTGGCTGTCTGAGGCGGGCGCTCTAAGATTCCCTTCAGCGAACTATGCAAATCGTGTTCAGGGTTAGTGACCAGGCTATGGAGAAAGCAAGGAGTTTCTTTCTTAATTCTATTATCTCAGCCGAAGCGCTACACTCGTTTCAAGCTTCTTTTGAGGCAGTTCTAGAAGGTGATCTTGGTGCCCCTGCTCTGGGAGCTTCGACTTAATTCTTTCTTTTTTTCCTTTGTATTATTATTTTTCTTGAAATGCTTCCTAGACTTTGCACCTTAGGTGTAACAACTATTAATATTTATGAAAGTGTTTTTATCTAAATGGCTTGGATATTATTTATCTTAAAGTCTTGTTTTTGGATCCATGTTATCATTGTCGTTGTGTTGTGTATTTTTGGTTGTTTTTGAATTGTTGTAACACAAGGGCTTACTCATTATCCCTGCAATGCAAAGTATTTTTGTTCAGGTGTGAAGTGTTGCTTGCCTTTATGAAGATAGAAAGAGTGTTTCATTGCAACAAAGTGACAAATGTGTCCTTTGAGCTTTTTCTATTTTGCAATTTACAGCTTGGTGTAATAGATGATGTTACCTACCATATTTACTTTCCGTGTTTGTTTGTTGTATTTGTTCGGTTTATTTTCCATGAGTGTATTCTTTATTATCCATGTCTTTAGCATTCTAAAAGAAAGATCGACTATGAAGCATATAACATAGTAACAAAATAGAGTATGGACAATTATTTATATTAATAATAAATTGAATTTATTACAGTGAAATAATGAAATGACTAGATAAAAGTAGACCTTCAATAGTAGCCCTATTATGGATGGACGATGTCCTGATATTTTGTTACATGTTCTCCTTTGGGGCTCTAGAAGTTGTGCTCTTTATTCTTTATGGCATCTCCTTCGGTTAGGTGGGGCTCTGAGGCGCTCAAACCTATCTTAGAAAGTCAATTCACCGCTTCTATGGTTGTCTTTGTTGAGGATATGTATTGAGGACAACCGTTGGAGTTTTAAGGCCCTTAAGCTGCCTCTATCGAATTCTTTGGTGAGGCGATTTCTGATCACTGAGACAAAACTTCCAGACTCCCATCTTACTTTGAAGTGCATATCTACCTCAGTCGGTTAATAGGTGGATGACGATATCCTTATAGGCGATCTGGCCTGGTGGTCGGTTCCCCTTGGATCTAGGAGGATGGTCGGATGTGGACGAAGTTCCTTGAGAGACTCGTCCCTCTAACCTTTGTCATTACAACTTGGATTATTCTTTCTGTCTAGTCTTTTCTTTGGAACAATGAAGCAAGGCAGGGATCAGAGGTAGCTGTCGACCAGTATTTGTGCCGCCTAAGGCTGGGTTTCTTTCTGCTGAGCATACTTTATGAACCTCTGCTAGTTTACTCGCTCAAGCATTAAGGAAAATATGTAAAGGGGTCAGCATGCTAAATTGCAAACAAAATTGTGATCGACGCCCAAAGAGCTTTATCAGGGTGTTGCAACTTTAATTGTGATGCAAGCTTCATCGTGACCGGTTGAATCCATCTTGAAGGGTGTTCATTCACCGGCTATAGATCCTTTGGTACCTATAGAAGGATATTCAGTACGAGATCTACACCCGACATTAAAAATGAACTCTTCGTACCTCCAACGACATTAACTATGAACTCGTTATATCTTTGACGTATATGTCATAGGTACCACATTAACAGAGGGAAGTATTGAAAATGTTAGACCGAAAGACAAATTGTGAATTTTCAGAATGATCTTAGAGGAAATTTCCTTTAGTCTCTGGTGTAGTTCTAGATCTGGATCTAGGATTCTTTCTTTTGTTGCTTTGCGGACTTCTCGATGGAATCAAAAACCTAATAATCCAACAAATCATAGGTGAAATAGTGACTGATTGGATCGACAATGACAAATCTTTGTGTTCGCTTTTGAACGTTCTTGATTAGTTGATTTGAGGAGGTTACTAACTGTCAAATCAGATATTGGATCAGAAACCATGGGAATCTTAGGAATCAAAAGCCGATTCCCACATATGGCACCACTGTTCCGTTAAGGAACTAAAAATGGATGAGGATTAAGAACTAATGATCTTGAAATTGTAGTGTTGATCTCTATCATGACAACACGAGATGTATATGCATGGTTAGCACTACAATGCGCAAGTCAGTTCAAGATTCAAGATAATATAATGAAAAGTGAAGATCAAAGAATGTACCCTGCTCTTGCGTGTGAATTGATTTTATACCTTGGGTCAAGTGGAGTGGATTTGAGATGAATTGAGTCTTGGTCATTTAAGCCTCTGGCCGACCCAAAATAGAACCTATGGCCTTTGATTTCTATTTGGCTCTTTAAGAGTTTCAATTTGGTGAGGTGAGCGATAGGTGGCGTTGGAGTCATTATAAAGATGATATATATTTTGTGGCGTCATCTTATATCTGAAGTAGACCTCACCCCCTCTTTAAAATTTACTTAGCAAGGGATAATTCACCCCCACTACTACAAAACATGCATTCAACAATGCCCAAGTCACCACGGTTCTTTCAAAAATACTATGGTGACGTCTATAAACTAAGGCGCTAAGAATTTTTATTTTTTAAATAAAAATTGTTAGGATATAATAACGTTTGGTGTACTCATCGTGGTTATACAATCAAGATTTCATGGGTTCGAACCTCAATGCCCTCAAATATTTTATTCCTTTAACATTAAGGCACATCTTTTTTTTTAATCTATTTTTAAATAAAAACTAAAAGCGATATCACTATGGTTGTTTTGTTCAACCGTTGTGATATATTTTGTTTTTTTTATTAAAATATTATATCATCACAATTCTCCTTGTCAACCGTCAAGAAAACTGATTCTTTTATATAAACGAAAGTATCTGTTGCCAAGTTTATAACATTCATTTCTCTCTAAAAAACCCTAACATATCATCAACTTATGCGCATCAGTTTTCTCCAATGACCACTACCCCTAAACAAAAAACTCTTAAAGGAAACTAAAAGGATACCTGACCAGAGCAACGTCTGGCATAAACTCTAACGGTGGTGAAGATCGTATGTTCTCCTGCTCTCATGCTCTCTCTCTCTTTCGATCTCTAGTTACTCTTCACTTGCTCTCTTCTTTATACTATTCTTATGGATGTTGTTGATGCTTAGAAGTTAGGATTATGGTTTTAGGATTTGGTTTCAACTTCAGCAGCGTAACAATAGGAAAAGGTAGATCCATTACAATGAGTCAGTAGGTTGCTTTATATAATTTGTTTGTACGTGTGGAAATTTGAAGTGTGTGAGAATATATTTTGATTGAATTTGTTTGTGTGAGTTTGTTTTGCAAATTGAATTTGTTTTGAAATCTATTTGGCCATGTATGTATGTGGGTGTGTAACAATGTGATGTTATGACTATTGGTTGTATTGTGATGATGCTCATGGTTGAAGTTTGTTGTGTTTCCTTGCAGATTATGGTGTTGAATAGTTAAGGGGATGATACATGGTAATGATGGTGGTAGCAAGCTTATAATATGAGTTGATATGATACATATGATTTGTGTTGGTATAGAAAAAATACAAGAAGTATGAAGCTATTGCAGATGAAGGATAGAAAACCACAAGAAAGAGGGGTTTGAATTGGGTTCTTTTTTAAATAAAAGCAGTATGACACGTTTGGTTATCCTAGTTCGTTTGAACTCAAACTACTCCAGTCCACCCGCCAAGGTGATTTTTCCTCTCTCAATCGAGGTCTTAATCCACTAATAAAAACTTGATTACAATTCACGAAGACAACTATCAACGTCTTCTTGAGATCAAACCATAACTTGGTTTCTCAAGGAATTACAACTCATAAAGACTACTGTCAATGTCTTCTTGAGATTAAACCACAACTTAGTTTCTCAAGGAATTACAACTTTTCTAACTGAAATATTGTTTTTAACAAATGCTTCTAAAAATCTATATCACAATTGTTATGTTTACACAAATATTAAAGCACAATGATAAAATAGAGAATTTGATTACTCTTGTTTGATATGCGCGTGTGATTCTCTTGAATATTTCTATTGTATGTGCTCACTTTGATCCATCTTCATAGTCTCTTTATATAGAGGAAGTGAATTGAATCGTTGGAGACATAAGAAACTATGTTTGAAAGGTTGATAAAATGTTGTTAATGCACTTTCCAAAAATACATATGTTTTCTTGTTCCATCTGATACTCTTTGATTTGTAATGAATGAGTTGTAACGCATCATAAATTTTATTCTTTGAAATCTGATCAGAATAAGAATACTAACGTTGAGATTTTAGATCATCAAAGTTTCTTTAGATTCATATGATCAAAGCTTGGATGAGACAGACACGTTGAAGCTTCTTTGTACTTTCAAAATATTCACTTATCATAGTATAGCTTAAGCTTAGGTGGTGAGTCTTAGAACTTCAGAATAGATGAGTGCGTTGAGACTTCCTTTGTTCTTCCATAACTTCACTTATCAGAGTATCAGAATTTAGCGTGCAGTTTTGGTGCTTCATAGGTTATAACATCAGAACTTCTTCTATTGAGCGTGTTACACGTATTTTCTTCTAAGTCAGTATGCTTCGTCTAATCAGAACTTCAAAACGCAAATACTCTCATCATCTTCTAGGCTCTTTTTTCAGAACTTCTCTGCATATTAAATAATTTATTAGAAATCACATTTGTTCTTTATATATACCATGTATTTGTTATCATCAAAGCTATTACTAAGATGTAGAACCAAACTATGTTCTAACAATCTCCCCCTCTTGATGATGACAAAAACTTGTATATTTTGATGAACAAGTAAGAACATAATGCAGTAGGGTCCCCCCCTAAGTTGAATACTTAGATAAATAAAAAAATAGATATTTCCCTAAAGATGTTTGATCGGAGCTTTTGATGGAAGTTCTGATAACTCCATGTGGCAAAAGTTACTTTCAAGAGACACTTTTCGTATTCGCTTTTCAAAAAATGAAACAGAGGTTATGTTGTCAAAAATGTTTGAGACTTATCCCAGCACTGTTATATTCAAAATATATTATGTTCTCCCCCTTTTTGTCATTAATCAAAAAGCAATAAAAATACGTAAAGAGTGCATTCAAGAACTGAGATTAATACAAACAGAAACAGACAAACAAAAGTTTAAGCATAAAGCATAGTAAAACCAAGCAAAAGTCTAGATCTAAGGTTGTGAAGGAGGT